AGTATCTTATTTCACTTCATGGTTGTTGTTGTTCTGGGTTTGTCCCCTCGTGGTTGATGCTCTCATTGTGAGTCGCTCTGGATTAAAGAACAGCTAAATAAATGTCATGTGACCTCGGGTGGGGGTGGAGATAGACCAGTGGATTGAAAGCTTTGCTGTGCAGCTCCGCCTCCATCTCTCTTCACTGCTGGTGCTCACCAGCGGGTTCATAGATCGCTGCCTCGACAGAAACCAGATGTCCCCAGTTCACCCTCACTACTCGTGATCAGTGAGGTTTGTTAGATGTACTTTTATGATCCACTCGTGTTCAAACACTTTGTGTTTGTCTGCAGGAGACCGACTACATCATGTCGTACTTTGATAACGGAGAGGAGTTTGGAGGAGACAGTGACGACAACATGGACGAGGCTATTTACTGAACACACTCCGTCCAGCAGCTGTTTTCAAAGACTCAAACGACTCTGTGGACTCACATCTCACCAGCGTTTTTCAATATTTTATATGTCCGTCTGTTTGTTGGAGAATCGAGTGGCAGTTTGTTCACGGGTTGAGCGCACACTCTACGATTTTAGCCAGTTTTTACCCCAAATTTTTGAGTCATACAATTTTTTCAGCATCGTTGTGTGTCGTCCGGTCTACAGGGCGATCGAGCAGCAACTCAACGCTCCAGACTCACCGTCACGTGTGCCGATACATTTCTGACATGTCAGAATTTTCGGTGGGTTGAAGACCACAGAAGACTGAAGTGTCCTGTAGGGGGCGCCGTCTCTGACAGACCTGATCATTCATCTCAGTAAACTAATGAATCAAACTGTAAATAACTGTTGTTTGTAAAAAAGGTTAAAAAAGTCGGGTGAATTTACTGTTGATGTGAATCAGCTGCTTTTTAATAAACATTTTAAATGAGTCTAATGTTTCTCATTAACGCCCCCTGCTGTTCAATTGTACCATAACATGTTTAAAACCCTGTTGTTTGTTTACATAATTCACTGACGTACGCCAACGTGTCGGCCATGTTGGAATCAAGTTGACGTTCTTTTAACTGCCTGATGCTTGGAGGTCGGAGGTCAGGGGATCAATGACTTTGACCTAATGTTGTGACACTTTGCTGGTAGTCGAGTCATGTGACATAAGAACCAATCAGGAAGAGACATGTGCGTCAATTGAAAAGTTTCAGTTTGTCCAAAGAAAAACTTGTGGCGTTACCATAGCAACAGTTATGAGTATCAGTGTGGGCGGAGCCTCACTCTTTTCTCCAGCTGCTCAGAAACATCAGGAACAAACGTCTCAGATGAACTTGTAGGTCAAAGGTCAGCTTCACAGTGACGTCGTGTTCTCTTCTGTTTACTTAGATCTGCTTCATGTCAACACTAACTTCCAACAACATTTAAATCAACTTTATTTACAGTCACTGATTTACAAACACCCGCACACTGTACAAATAAACAGGGTCAAAGGTCAGCAGGAAACAGCGATCTCTGACCTTCAGCTTCCATCATGTGCTCAGTCGGTTTTCATCTGTTCAGTTTGTCATCAAACCTGCCACGACACAGTCAACAAGAACCTTATGAGAACCTCAGGAGAACCAACAGAATGGTACAGGTACCGTAGAACTCAATGCAACAGTGTAATTCAGTTGAGCACAGTAGAAAAGGAGAATATAGTCGTAGTACACAGTAGAACTATATAAAACACAGTAGAAAAGTAGAAGTAGAGTAAACAGACGTAAAGCAGAATGTGTCTATTCGTGTTGATTGCAGTGGAATGACTGTGAAAACTAATTTCCCCCGGTAGACAAAGACAAAACAGTAGAACACAATAGAGGAGTACAACACGGTAGAAGAACCGTTGAACAGTGGAAGGACAGTGGAGGTACATGAAAACACAGTAGAACAGTAGGAGCACAGTAGAAGTACAGTAGAACATAGAACATAGTAGAACAGTAGAAGTGCGTTCTCACTGGCGGATGGCGTCAGGGATCTGGAGTCGTTCTGTGGGGATGATCTGTGAAAGCTGCTGAAGACTCTGAACAAAACGAATCTTCCTGCTGAACTTGTCACTGTGGACACAGGTCAGAGGTCAACCACAGGGTCAACTCTGTGCTGCCCTCTAGTGGATGTATTATTTAACAACCATGACAACGTAAAGGACGGAAGATAAACATTTAGAAGAAGTGATGATGTCACAAGTGTGAGTCCCACCTGATGAACGGTTTGACGACAGTGATCAGAGCCTTAATGTACCAGGCAGGATGAACAACCAGCAGCCCCTTTAGATCCTTCTTCAGCCTGGAGACACACATGTCACACATCTGTTACCATGGAAACAGGACAGCTCCACCCCGCAGAGATGTCCTGCAGAGTAAAACCAGCGTACCTTCTGTCGATGGATGTGTAACACTGATGAAGCCACTTGATGGAGGGAAGTTTGTTTCTCGGTGCCATCGCACACAGGTAGACGAGTAGGTAGTTCTCCGAGACCATCAGGTCCAACGTCCCCACGATGTACCTGTCCATAAGACATGTCTTCACACACATTGTCCTCTCTCTCTCTCTCACACACACACACAGAGTGACACCATGTGTTCTCAGGTTGATGAAACTTGTCGACTCACCTGAACAAGTTGTCCATGACATACTCATAGTCGTCCACCGTGTTCTCAGGCAGGTAACAGGAGGTGAACAGGATGATGGCGTTCATCCCGTCCCCATAGTAACCTGACAACCAATGAGAGGAGTGTGCCACACCACACAGGTGATAGGTGTTACAGTTAAACTTTAAACTTTATGAAATTCTTTTTACACTCATGTTTTCATTTTATACATGCATTAACCCACAATCCCACACATGCACATGCACATTTTTGGAGAGAGATGGTAGAGTGATGGGCAGCCCCCAGGAAGAGCGCCCTATGAGCAATTGGGGGGTACGGTGCCTTGCTCAAGGGCCCCTCAGCAGTGCCCAGGAGGTGAACTGGCACCTCTCCAGCTACCAGTCCACCTTCCATGCTTATGGTCCATGCTGGACTTGAAC